AATCGCGGGAGCGAAACACATGTTGTTGTGGGAGCAGGCGGCAATGGTCAGAAATTCAGCGGGAGCGGGACTAAGAAAACAGCCGAATCCCAGACATTTTGGGCGATTAAGAAATCCTGTCCGGACGCATTTTTCCAGGTCTAAAAAGAGGACATGTCCGGGGAAAAGAGGACGTCACCCTAGAATAAGTATTCTGGTGAGAAATACGCTACAGTAACATGCGCAAAAGATAGGCTACTACTCGCGAGAGCCTTTTTCTATCGTCAATAGCCGCGGGAAAAGGACGTTGTTAGGCACGAGGCGCAGTAGACGTTAACCCATTTAGCTGCGAATATTCAAACGGTTACTACACATGTAAATGATTGTGGATGCAAATGTTCATTAAAATGTTATTGGATTAAACAAATTCCTTAAGCGGAATCCTTTCCGCTAGAAGCTATAGGCCACGTAGGCTATAGGCCTACACTGCCGTCAGTTCACCTTTAAGTGCTTAATTCTGTTCGGTACACACACAGTTCAGTAATTTACAAGAATGTCAACCGCATTTGTGACCCTGGACCACAAAACCTGGTCGTAAGTCGCATGGGTATATTTGTACAATAGCCAACAATACATTGTATGGGTCAAAATTATCGATCATTAGGATTTTAGGCTAAGTAAAGATCATGTTCCATAAAGATGTTTTGTAAATTTCCTACCGTAAATATATAAAAACTCAATTTTTGATTAGTAATATGCATTGCTAAGGACTTCATTTGGACAACTTCAAAGGCGATTTTCTCAATATTTAGATTTTTTTGCACCCTCCGATTCCAGATAGCTATTCAGATAGTTGTATCTCGGCCAAATATTGTCCTCTCCTAACAAACCATGCATCAATGTAAAGTTCATTTATTCCGCTTTCAGATGATATATAAATCTCAATTTCAAAAAATGGACCCTTATGACTGCAGGTAGCATCAACCGCATTTACAGAAATTCTACGCAGTGTGTTACGGAACCGAACTGAACACCTAGTTGTTAATGATGGTTTTACACTTTTCTGGGGGGTTTTTTCTGTATGTGCATTGCAAGAAATCACAGGGTATGTTTTGACTTATTAGTGTTGTCATAAAAAACTCAAGTGTTTTTATGATTAAATAAATAAGCATTATATGTAATTATAATATTTCTTTTTAGTTAAATATTGTATTTAACTACTGTATTTCAGGCACTACTCAAAAGCAAATTTGTGAAACTGAATATGTAAACTCTTTTGTGGTCTCAGACGTTTGGACCCCAATATCCTCCAAATAAATGGATGAATTATAAATGTGATCTCAGATTGTTCAAAGGAAAAGTCCAGAAAGAAAACCAGCAACAAGACAGACACCACTGAACAAGAATGCAATGTGCTGTTCTAAAACTAAAGATTTAAATATCATCAAGTTCAATTTCATTAATCTCCTGAAAAAAGAAAGAAATTAATCTATGAGTGACATTTAAAGTTCACTGTAGATGAATTGTTCTTGCAGTAGGGGGAAGAGATTGATGGTACCTCAAATTACAAGTACCACAAAAAAGATGTGACACTTCAAAACTCCTCTATAGGGAGCAATGCCTTAGATTAATACATTAAGAAAAAATGCCTTTTCCTTGACCTATTTTTCTACAAGAACACAGTAACAAGCTTGTATGTGATGGTAGTCAACATTAAAACAAAACATGCACGAATAAAAAACACTGTAACAAAGTAAGTGCTCAACGTCTTCCAAAAACAACATTAACAACAGGAAAACAACATACATGAGCAGTCAAACTCCTATTCAACCTCCTTCGGCCCAGCACTTTCCATATGGAAGAGAATACGCATGGGAGCAAATCAAAAGATGAAGAACATTGAACAGTTATGGTGTACTAAAGTCTCAATGGAAACACTAGAGTACGAAGCACTAGCAACACTACACTTTCTCTCAGTGAGTAATAATTGTGCTGCTGAAGTACGGATGAAGGCGGAAGAAGCGTAACTAATCTCAGGCGAGAATTACCTTGGGTCGGGCATCGCACAGCGCCACAGGTGTTGCTTTAGTGTCTGCACCCAACCAATATCACGGATGGGCTGACAGAGCTGAATGTAGTGGTACTGTTTTAGCATAACCCTTCAAACGAACGACAAGATCACTCGTTAGCTGAACATTAAAGTAATTAAAGGGTTAGTTCACCCGAAAATGAACATTTTGCCATCATTTACTCAGCCACATGTCATTCCAAACTGATATGAGTTATGTGGAAATGCTTTGCAGAATGCTTTTTTCCATACAACTATCACCATATGGCAAAACGGCTGTAAAGAAAGTCATACAAGTTTGGAATTATACAAGGGTGAGTAAATGATAACAAATTTCGTTTTAGGGTAAACTATTTCTTTAACTCCCAAAGCACAAAATCATTATGTAAATCAACCAAATTTCAATCAATCAATAAATCACATAATTAAAGCCAATCATTATAGACTCACAGTGACTGACACATATTGATCTTTCAAGGACTATTTCAGTCTATTCAGAATGGAATCATTCCAGTTTTTACGTACATCTCTGATATTTGGTCCTGGAATAGGAAGTTTTGCATCTTTTGTTACTTTGCACATACGAGACACTGAAAGCCCCAATATATCTGATTCACTCAAGATGCAAACATATATTTCTCAACTCTCAGCTGACAGCAATATGCACAACCTAAAAGATGCCAGAACCTATTCCAGAGCCTATTACACACAAAATATGAGAATCGCAAAACCAAACGTAAACATCGGAATAGTTCTCTTCCATGTGGATTCTACGTCTATGACTGTGACAAGAGAGACAGACAGAAGGACAGGGGAGAAATGATACAAATGCACCTACCATTGAGTCCCCAAACCCTCCCACATCTCAAACAAAATGAACCACGACACCTCCGTTTCTGCGTTTGCATTTATTCATTTCAATATATATGAGCAAGCAAGAGAGAAATCACAATTCACATTATCACAGTTAAATCTGAGGCCCTGTCACATAACAGTTTTTTTCTCTCCTTTTTCAGTATGCACTATAGATAGCACCTGTGCTAAGCACACACGCACACACACACACACACACACACTCACTGACATGTACAACCCCGCTCTAGCTGCTCCTCCTCTGTCTCCCCACAATGCCTTCCCCTAATTCCCACATTATATTAACAGTAATTGAGTCACCAAAGGCTGCAAAATACAAGAAAAGGCCCTCACTCTGTGGCGCAGTCAGCTTCAGAGCACAGTGCAGAAGAGAATGAGCTCCATGTGACTGTATTCTACAGCCAGACTGAAGAAACAGATACTTTCATGCTTTAGGAATTCAACATTCTGGATGTCCAACAGAATTGCAGTGTAGTCTCTGGATTTCAAGCCTGTATATAATACATTCAAGGTATTCATAATGCATTGTAATGGATTATATATTTTCATAAATAATGATAAACGCAGTTATAATACATCTAAACGGCCTCTAAACGGCATTTTACATGGTATGGTATATCAGAGGTGAAGACGTGGCAGAATGGCTGTGTGTGTCAAGCTCATTCATGAAGAAGAATCTTTGCTTTCTAGTGCTAGACTGCTAATGGCGCACACCATGAAAGATAAAAAGATTAAGGCTAAACTTGAATAGCATGCTATTCTCTTACTATTCCTGTCATAAATAAAGATATTTAGTATTATAAAATAGTATGAGAGTATTATACTATTCTGAATCCAGCCATATTTAATTTCTGATAGGAATGAAAATGTGGCTGTGAAGTATAGAATAAAATATGCTGTTGTTCAGTTGACGAAAAAAGTTTTTTTGCCAATCTGAGGTTACTTTAATTACGAGCAGTCAAACTGCATTTTCAAAAACGTGTTTTGCATTTGTATCAAAGTGTTTTACTCACATTTCACAAATGGAAACACAATTTATTGAGAATTCCTAAACTTCATAAACACATGCAATTTGATTTAGTTCATTTTTTAGATCCAGAATGTTTTAGTCACCAGCACTAGATCATAGTTGCTTGTTACCACTTGTTTTTGATTATGAAAAGGGGATAAGATCGCTTAATTTCTTCAATCTGGCAACAGATTACAGAATTACTGTGCGCCGATTGGTCAAACAGGACAATGAGATCACATACTTGACATACTGAAAATGGAGAAGACCTCAAGGGATGAGACTAGAGACAGAGAGAGGATTTGCCGAGGGGAGGTATATGATTAAAAAGAAAAACAATGCAAAGCATGATCTTACACAATGCACTCCCATAATGCCAGCAAATGAAGACATTTAGATACTAAAATGAATGCCATTCAGTCTATGAACTACCAACATCTTTGTTTTTCCATCACAAACTGACATGAATCTGCATCTGCGAGTGTCATGTCACATGCAAAGCCATGATTATGTGCTGTTACATAAGGCCTGATCAGATTATATCTAAAAAGATTTCACTGCCAACACAAAATCATCTCTGTGAATGTATCAGCATTAAACTTTAAAGGGATACCCCATCCAAAATTGAAATTCTATCATTTACTCACCCTAAAGTCATTCCAAACATGACTTTATTTCTTTTATTCTGCGATATAATGGTTTTTGTCCATTTTTGGAACACAGTTTGGGTGAGTAAATGATGACAGATTATTTTCCCTTTAAGTTAGGTTTAAGTTTGCATTATAGGCTCACAACCTCTAAGGTGACTTGACTCGTACATGTGCACCTTGGGAAGTGGCCTTTTTGGGGCCAACAAAACAAAGATGACATGATCATGCAGTCGAGAGTAAACGAACAGCATTCCGAACAGACTGCATTCGACTTACCATTACATCAAGGGACACATGATAACAAACAGAACAATTAGCCAAGAATACAGGTCATGTCAGTCATTGAACAACAGGGGGGATGCAGGAGCAAAACAAAGCAGGAGACACTCTGGGAAAAGTCATTAATATTTAATAAGTGAATCTGCATTCGCATAAAGAAGGGCTTTGATTTTAAAGCTGCCTAATCTATTGACCTTTGGAGTTCCCTCTACTTTTGGGATCCCCCATCTGTCTACCTCGGGGGCTCCCTTAGGGGGGATGGGAAGTGTGCATGTGAGAAAGAAAAAAAAAACAGTTGGGCAGAGTGGAAGATATAATGTTAAATGTTGTGTTGTGATCCTTACATATTTTATGGTGCAAGATGGAACAGAAGTTCTCAAAACCAAACAATGCATAAACTTATATTTTAGTTTATAATACATTTAATTTCTACTGGTTTGCACATAAAATCACTGTGAACATTTAAATCCTATTCTATCCAAAAACAAATTTACAGTACATCCCATAATGCAATATCATGTTACAGTAGTAATCCAGTTGGGCCAAAACAAGGCCTTATTATTGTATGACCTTGACAGATGTTTTTTGGGGATACTGATGTTCTATTTGGAGATATCCTGTTCCTGTAATGATTCAAAAACATTCAAGAAAACAAACAGAATAATACAAATCATTACAGCACCAAAGTGATCTGAGATCATAACATATCACTTAGGAGCTTGGGGTGTTCGCTCAATAAAATGACTACATAAAACAGGCAAAGCAAGCAGATTAATATAGTCTTAAAACCAAAGATGCACATTTATCAAAGATTTTTGATTGAGGAATTAGCCTTTGTGGTTTCTATGTGTCGCCTAATTTACACAAACATGTTTTCAAAAGCATAATTGGATATAAATTGGCTTCATTGTAAAACCCTTGATAAATGAAACCCACCAGTCTGTGCATCTGATGGTACGTACATACAGAGCCAATGGCTCCATGCAAAATAAGAGCATCCAATGGCCAACTAGTAGAGTGGTTGCCATGGAAACCTCGTCTTGAGATGAGGAGAGTGGGTGGAGCTATAGTAAATGCAAACGCTTTGATATCACTGAGAGGAGAAAACCATCAAATCCAACCCTGAAAATTGTGTAAAATCAGCCCACTGACCTCTTAGAGAAAAAGAGAGAGTGAGAGAAAGAGAGAAAGAGAGGTGGGGGTATTGGAAATATACAGTGAGGAATAAAACGAGAGGTGCATCAGAGAGAAAGAGAGGGAGGGGGCAGCAATGGACAGAACAGTAAAGGAATGAGAACCTCTTATTAAATAATTTTGCAGCCTTCGTTCTGCTTTCACCCTTTCAGGAAGAGATTAAATGAGAGAAGAAGTGCAATGGTTTTTACTCTTTCGCCTCAGCCAGTTTGTTGTTGATCTCTTTACTTTTCTCCTTGTCGCCCTGCGCCGCTCTGCTCTCCAGCTGGTTCTCGGAGCTCTTCTTCTTCGAACCACGCACCGACGTCGCCTGCTTCTCCTTGGACTTCTTCAGCGGTTTGCCAGGTGTGGCGGATGAGCTCTTTTTGGGTTTGTAGTGAGGAAGACTGGTTTTCTCCACCTGTTTAAGACATAAAATGGTATTTTACTACTATTACGTGAATAGGGCTGGGTAGTCACCAATGACATAGTCACCACTGATAAGCTACTACTAAATATAATGTAGAAACTTTACAAATTATATTGCTAAAACACACATTAGATCGCAATCGTAAGTCATTACAAATACTCAATGGTGGTTTTGAAGTGAGTTTTGAGTAAAAGTGTTGTATGCCAGTGGAAATGCCCATATGGACGAGGATCGGTTTCATTTTAAAACACTGTTTTAAAACGAAAACGCACTAGAGTAAACGTAGCCTTACATCTATGGGGGTTGGACGCTTACACACTACAGCCTCACGTCTAAGTCACATCTCTGGGCGTAACCAGTGTAAACAAGTGTTTTTCCTTGATGCCTCATCAAAGCCAATCACCAGCACTTGATTTAGGCACATCAAGCATGCTGCATGCTTATTTGCTCACTGACGTTGACGAGATTAAATCCTTAGGTATCGAAATTTGGTACCAAATGACAAGACATTTTTCGATACACGATGGTATCGAGGCAATTCGGTCGGTGCCTAAAAAGTATCGAACTTCGAAGTATCGATACCCAGCCCTATACGTGACATATTTAGTTATACAATGGGAAATAACATGGGATGGGACTTCGATAAGATAGACATGTTGGACAATGATATTATAGGCTATTTTTTTATACATTATTTTTCCCGCTCATTCAGCCCTGGGTATAACAGCAAAAAAATATATTTTAGGGGCGGTGGAAGTTAATATGTTTAAATTTTGAAAGTCAATTTTTTAAAAGGAATAACGTACTGACAAATAATGCACAAAAAGACAAGGTACATTTATTGAAGATGCGATGAAACAGAAGTAGCTATTTTCTTTTGTATTGTGACGTACATTTAAGCGAATTGGATTTTATTTTTTTTTTAAAAGGGAAGAGAAAGGGAAAAAAATCCATCCATCGATTTCATTGGATCAGGGCAGATCTGAATTTGAGTTTGAAGTTTGACTGTAAGAAGGGGGCGGGGGTTTAAGCTGACTAAACAGTCATAAAGGAATTTAAGATTTAGGAATTATGAGGTCAAAATTTCTGTGAAAATCATTTTCTGTGAGGTCAGAAAAGGTCAAATGCATGGATGAATTATTCACAAAAAGATCAATAACATGCATTTAGAATTTAAAGAAGTAAAAGAAGAATTAAATCTTAAAATTTGTAATTCATGTTGTTCAAAAATAGCTCATAAAGTCACATAGTATACTGATCTCAAAACAAGCACTGATAGCAAAAATAATAATTAGCCACAGTGTCTGAGTGACCATGATTATATTGTAAAGCTAGTCAGCTCAATATAATACAACAAAGAGCTGATGCTGATTCACTAAGACACTCAAAGCTTGAGGCCAAAGTTATGTCAAACAACTCTAAAAGTACTGCTGAGAAAAAAAAAACTGTTGTTCAGTTATTTTCCAGCCACTGAGCACATAGATTGCTGACATCAAGTTACTGAACCCAATAATTGATCCAGCCTTCTGCAACAAAAACACACTTACAAACAAGAATGTAACCAAACATTCAAAAATTAGGGGAGAATTAAGGTAATTATCAGATCCAATATCAGATATCAGTAATTAAAGATCCAACTGCTAATCTAAATATTGTATTATTATACTTAACTTCCATACACAAGCTCGTACCTTACTGCTCTCTCTGTAAGGCTCAAGGTACAGTGTGCGTATCCTCCTCCTCTCCAAGGCCTTGTTGTCATCTGGCTGCTGAGTGGCCTGGTAGGCCCTGTAGGTGGCACTGTAGCTGGTCTCCAGATCAGTCTTCTCATCGGGAGGCTGATACTGAGACTTGGCCCTGATGAGCTTCACAGGTTTCACGTCTGTGTAGGCTTTGTACTCAGTCCTGACATTAAGAAACAGATAACATTAAAATTATTGGAAAATTGAGTGTAGTGGGTGATTCAACCGACACATATTGAATTTCAAGACCACATTGTACAGAGTATGACAGACATATCCTTAAAGTCCACCATTAAAACTGAGTTGGGGAATTTATTGGAAAAAATCATGACCCCTGTTTTGTTTTAGCCAGTAGGCTTTAGTTTCACAGTTTGCAATTTGTTAGTCTGTGTGGCATGTGGGGGTGGGACATTCTCATTCTAGAGAGCATTTGATTGGCTAAACCATCCAAGTCTAAGATGAGTCATCAATATTTTTGATATATATCATATATCATAGACTAGTCACAAAACTTGATTTTTAATTTTACTTGGTTAACAATTGCTGTTTTCCATGCTATTTTTAGGTTCTGATAGAACAAACACATCAAGAAAACTATTTAAAATTACATCAAGTCTCTACACATACAACACAAGAAAGACTACATATAAAATAACTACTTGGTACTGCTATATATAGACACTGCATTATAGATCTAGATTGATATACACCCTCCATAATGCAGACATCCCCACCCCCCATCTGCATCACAGAGAGTTTTTCCTAGGCACTAGGCAGTGGCCCCTCCTTTAAGATGAGTAATGAGTCTTTATTCACTGAGATGACACAGACAAATGGTATATTCTTCACGGGTATGTGCATTGCAGATTACCCAACATGCAACTTATCCGCAGTGCATCTAACACACATGCACACATATAGACAGAACTCTCTCACTGAGACCAGCACAGAAGAGACATCTCAGACAAACTCTGGTTTTTTAATCATTCGACACTGATTAACTAATGAGTCACTCACACCAGTTTGTGCGCTTGTTTTATAAATTTTAGAAATTCCAGATCCAAATCATGATGTCTTGTGAGCATGTTTTACTCTAGCTGAGGATTTCTGAGGAAAGATGGAATAATGGATATTCACTGTAAATATTTACATGAATTCTATTCATTTTCAGGACTGGAAAACATAATTTTAAAATTCCCTTTTGACCTCTCTCTCTTTCTTTTTGATTCTGTAACATTACAGCCTCAGAGGGGTAGGGAGTATTGATTAGGATTGACAGGACAGGAAGAGATGGGAATGCCAGGCAGAGTGAACCACTATCATCCCATTAGATCAATTAGTTGCTTTAGTTTATGTGAGTAAGAAGCAAATTAATACATCTCTGTATGAAACAGAATCAACCATTCTGACATATTACAATAAGGCCTAAAAAAAGCTGAGAACATTTGATATCACACACTGTTCTACTGGAGATGAGATTAGATAACATAGGAGTTTGATACTAGATCAAACTCCTGTACACTCAGAATGAGGAAGTAATCTAAACAAAAATGGCCCGTTATTATGTGACCAACAAGCTGATGAACAAAGTCATGGGACAGCACGTGGGGGAATATTAACCCCCTCAGAGAAAATAGGGGATGTGAAAATCACGCCCCATGTCCCATGTCAAGGAAAATTTCAGGTTGAATACAAGTGAATCTCTATCAACAGCAAAAATAACAGAAAATAATTCACTCTCAGATTCTCAGGTTGTAAAAACGTCAAATAAAACTATGATTTGCTTTTCAAATGCCTTTTTTTGTATCAATTTTGTTGTTAAGAGTTTCGTTGTTAGAGACCCAAACCCAAACTTTCAATCTTAAACTATGAAAAATCTGTATAAAAATATTAATTATTACATTGAAAATATATTTAAAAGTTTTTAAAACTTTTAATATCTTTAAAAATTTAATTTAAAGGGATAGTTCACCCAAAATTTAAAATTCTGTCATTAAAGGGGTCATATGCTGCGATTTCAATTTTTCCTTTCTCTTTGAAGTGTTACAAGCTCTTGGTGCATAAATTAGATCTGTAATGTTGCAAAGACTAAAGGCTCAAATCCAAAGAGATATTCTTAATAAAAGTTAAGAGTCAACCATTTTCAGAAAGGCGGAGCATAGAGGAGAAACAATAATGTACAGTATGTGGAAAATAACGTGTTTTTTGAACCTTAAACCGCATAAACACATTTCATTACACCAAATACACCAAATAATGTTCTTTTTAGCAACATCATATGACCCCTTTAATTACTCACCCTCATGACCTTCGTTTATCTTCGGAACACAAATTAAGATATTTTTGATGAAATCCGAGAGTTTTCTAACCCTGCATAGAAAGCAACGCAACTACCACGTTCAAGGCCCAGAAAGGTAGTAAAAAATCGTTAAAATAGTCCATGTGACAACAGTGCTTCAATCGCAATGTTATGAAGCTACAAGAATACTTTTTGTGTGCAAAGAAAACAAAAATAATTACTTTATTCAACAATTTCTTCTCCTCCCTGTCAGGCTTCGATGTGCGTTCACAGAAAAGTATTCTCGTAGCTTTATAAAATTACGGTTGAACCACTGATGTCACATGGACTATTTTAACTACATTTCTGGGCCTTGAACGTGTCAGTTGTGTTGCTGTCTATGCAGGGTCAGAAAGCTCTCGGATTTTATCAAAAAATATCTTAATTGGTGTTCCGAAGATGAACTAAGGTCGGGTTTGGAACGACAGGAGGGTGAGTAATTAATGAAAGAATTTTCATTTTTGGGTGAACTATCCCTTTAGTTATGGCTTAATAGTTAGGGAAGTCGTGGCCTAATGGTTAGAGAGTTGGATTCGTAACCCAAAGGTTGCAGGTTCGAGTCTTGTACCGGCAGGGATTGTAGGTGGGGGGAGTGAATGTACAGCACTCTCTCCCACCTTCAATACCATGACTGAGGTTCCCTTGAGCAAGGCACTGAACCCCCAACTGCTCCCTGGGCGCTGCAGCATAAATGGCTGCCCACTGCTCTGTGTGTGTGTTCACTGCTGTGTGTGTGCACTTAGGATGGGTTAAACGCAGAGCACTAATTCCTAGTATGGGTAACATATTCCTATACTTGGCCACATGTCACTTCACTTTATTTTTCACTTTTTAATTGTGTGTTAAGGATACATTAAAAGCTAGCTAAAAAAAATAGCCTAAGCAAGGATCATGTACAAACATCATGTATTCCTGATAAATTGTTCTTTGAGAACATAAATCTGACAATACTGCTGGTGTTTTGATTTAAAGGGAGGCCTCCCTTCTCTCCCTGTTGAGAGCACAGGGGAGCGGAAAGAAAGAAGTGAAAGTTGTTACATATGACAAATTAAGTCCAGTCAGAATGCTTGAAACGGCAGCACAAAAGCAGCTCATAGAAGTCCAAGGCCACAGGCACCAAACACTCACAGGACAAACATAAAAGAAGAAGGGGGAGGAGTCAGAATTTATACAGCAACACACACACACATAGAAAAAGACAGAGAATGAGAAAGACATAAAGACAGAGAGAAGGCTTGTTACACACATACAATAGGACTCCCAACAATGAGCTTAGTGTGCTTATTGTAAATGAGCGCTTGGTACCAGCTGTCAAATCATTCATTTGATAAACGGCATCAACCCTGTTCTACAATGCTACTTTACACCAGATTTTTTCTAATCTAACAGAATTAATTTAATGTAAAAGCACAGTATTTATTCAAATGAGCTCACACATTTAATTAACTGCTGTCACCAAAAGTCATCTGTAGATTTGAGCATACAGTGAGGTTGATACCTCTTCCTCTCCCCAGGCACTGAGCTTTTGTGAACAGCCTTGTCACTATGGTGATATGCTGGCACTAGAGAATTGTGTGGTGGGGAGCCAGAGCAGTGCATCATGGGTAGACTTGGCACATTGGAGTAACGTGGTGTTTAACAGAAGCATGTAAAGCTGTTTTGCTTTTTACTTGGATTCAAAAACAACATCCTGATTATTTTGATGTAGTCTAGACCTGTTAGATGACAACACAGCACTTGATGCCACCAAAAATAGACAGCGTATTTGGATTAATGAATACTGTAAAACTGATTCCTTTTATTAATCCACCAGCACTGCAAATAATTAGATGTGCAATTGCTTAGTTGATTATTTAATGTCATTTTTATTCTAGCAACAGCCTCGCTGTCAGATCAATAGGTTTCCTGCACCCTGTGGCATCATCTTGCAGCTGTACCTCCAGCATGACATATTTCTTCTGACATTCACTTTGGACTCCAAGTGAATCCCAATGAGATTATCCCTGTAATACTGCCCTGCAAGGCAAAACTCTCTCTTATTTCTCTCTCTCTCTTTGCTGCTTCCTCTGTTATCCTTATCGATTGCAGTCTTTGAATGGGTACAGTGCCTTCAAGTACTGCACTATACAAGAAAAGGAAGGAAAGGCATAAAAGTATGTTAATTACTTACATAAGAAACAATTAATGGAACATGGAAAAGGCATATATATATTATTATATATTATATTATATATTAGTAGGGCTGCACAATTAATCGAATTTCTAATTGCAATTACAATTATGGTAAACATCATTCAATGTAAATTGTGATCATCGTAATTAATAAATCGCAATTACAATTTCAAGGGAATAATCGACAATTATGATTTTTGCCATAATCGTGCAGCCCTATATATTAGTATTAAAAAGCTGTGCTATTTATTGTATTATTATATTATATATAAATTGTATTTATTTCATAGTACAATATATTTTTCTTATTTTCTCTAGTATTAAAAAAGCTTTGCTATTTATTATATTATATTATATTATATACTTGCCCTATAAGTATTATTTATAATATTATTATTATTATACTATTCTAGTACTTATTATTTGAATTACCTTTTATTTAATATTTTCAGATTTCATTTTCATTTTAGTAATTTTATGTGCTTTTGCCATTTTCTTATATTTCTATTTACCTTTGATATATATTTCAGTTTTTGCTTTGGTCATTTTAACACTTAAACCTATTTTTTTCTAATGCTCATTTAATTTGAAGTTTAATCTAATATTAATTGATTATTATTAGTTTTAGTTAGCAATAACAACAATGAATCAGAGGTATGGTGTTCTATTTTAAAGTCAACAATGTAACAATGCACAAATAACAACCCTAAAATAATTAATAAATATAAAATAAATGCTAAACACTTAAATTGCAAAAATCAATAAGCTATTCCAAGATTTTGCGCAGAAAAATCAGAGATAAACTGCAAACCAAAGCATATTGATCTACAGGGAGAGAGAGAGCGAGAGACACAGATAAATGAAGCAAGCAACTTCCTCTCCTCCGCATCCTGTGAAGACACACCTGTGATTTCTCTGGCTTAAAATAAAGCACCAAAGAATGCTTTTTACAGGCTTCTTACAGTAAGAGGATCATTTTTTATATCCAGTTTCATCAGCTTGCGTCATAAAGCTTAAGCCCTGTCACTGCTTTGTAGCATGACATAGCAACAAAGCAAAACTCAGGACTAAACATGAGATTAAGTCAAACTAATCCTGAGCTTTTCCATTTAAAGAATCGCCCCATAACAATCCATGCATGCACTGTCATGCAAACTGAACTGATGACACTGCGTTTTGTCCTCTTGAGTATTTTCCTCCGAGTCAAGAAGAAACAAATTCCACACAGGAAATATGAAATGTGCCCTGATGCACCATGAGGCATTTTGAGATTAAACTTCTCACACAACAAATAACACCAGCCTAATATATGCAAGTCTGAAGGCAACATTCAAATGCAATTCAGGCTAGATGTAATATATTTACCCAAAGCAACCTGCAAATGTGCAACACCACAGGCAGTTTATCACAATTGTACAGTATCAAAAAGCTCAATCTTGTTCAGCTGCGCATGAGTAATTTGCATGCGCACATGAATGAGGGGGCGAATTATGGACCAATTGCCACCTGTCAATTAAACACAAATACTCCACAATGACAATGACGGACTTGTGAATTGAGATTGAGAAAGCAATTTTGAGAAGAGGGAGAATGTTCTTTCTTTACACATTTATTGTTCACTGTTTGCAATAAAAAAGTGATTGAAAGGCAACTGAATACCAAGTAGGACCAGGAACAGCACAGCACTATACAAACTTCAGCTCCATCTGTTTTGAACAAACACAGGCAAATAAAAGCAAATGAAAAAGCTGTTTTATATGCTAGAGCTGGAAAATAAAAAGAGTGCTCTCCAAAGACTGCTTTCTGAATTTTACAAACTTGACAATTTTGCACCACTTTCACAACAAATGGATTATTAACAACTGGGAATTCCACAATGCATTCGCTGGCCTTACTTTGCCCTAAAACTAACCCTGAAAAAAATGAAAGCCTTTTCCAAAAAACAGCTTCTGCTCCAGTGCTCTCCAGCCCCCTGCATGTCCTGCCATCTGTAGGTGTTAGTACAGCAGTAAATGCAAGATTTATCCCACAGCTGACCTCCATTGTATACCTTTTTTCACTCCACAATACACTTTCCATCTGTTTTTATACTGGTCTAATGATATTTTATATCTCTTAACCCTAAAACTAACCCTTACTGAAACCATTTTTCCTTTTTTAGAGATATTATTTAGTATTATTTCGCTAGCACAATTGCTCAATTTGTGTTTTACTTTCATTGTGGGGACATTTGGTCTCCTCTACACATCTATTGATGCTCAGATCTATAACAGTGTCTTCATGTTGTGTCAAGTGTTGGCATGCTGTTTTGCTTTGTCTTTCCACCCCCCAATCTCAGAGTAAAAAGTGACTATTTTACGAGATACGATTTGTTTGATCTGAATCGTACAAAAATTAGCAAGAAATTGGCATAACTAGAAAATGTAATTTCCATGACTTTTTGAGATTGAATTCATTTTCATGACTGTTCCAGGATTTACAAGAATTTTAAAACACTTTTAAATGTAGGCTTTCCAACCCTCTACATTGCGAGTAAATCACTCGCATATGCGACTAAATCTTCACTCTGGCGACTAAATGATGTCTAATATTAGCCAATTCCTATTAAATTCTCAGATTTTACTCGCCAGTGTGTGAGTTGGAGGCTAAGTATAAGTTTAGCTCAGATATATTTTCACTCGCCGAACACTCTCTGACTGAGCGCAACGCACCTGTATTTAACGTACCGTAAACTCTAGTGTGAAGGCGCACGCCTCGCCGTCGCTTTGTTTCACACGCACGCAGCGAGAGAGGGAGAGAGAGAATTGACGCGCTACCTATGCGCGCTACATGTAAACGATATTCTTTGTTGACCAAAAAAGCACCACCACCAGTCCGTAGTTCTGTTAAAATGACTAATATGCATTCATGCATGGTTATCAAGTTTTGATTCTAATTACAAAAGTTCTATCATTAAATAACATTGATTATCATATTATAATGCTTGACTGACTGATGTTAGGTACTAGCCAATGGCGATTCAATTGCCAAGGTGTTCGTAGAGGGCTGCTTTCTCATAAGTTGACATTGTTGATAGGGTGAATTAAAATAAGATTTTAATATTTTAGCTGTTTTAGCTTATTTTAATAATTGTTCTGTCTTATTTTATATAATTTTAGTCATCTTAAGGCCACTTTGGAAGTTTGCTGAGGCCCCGAGGGGGTCCCGGACCCCTGGTTGCGAACCACTACTGTACAATCACTCGCTGATAATCAATCAGCCAAACCTGTAGGAGCTGCCAGAGGTGACTTCTTGTTTGATCTGCCGGTTGAAAGCATCCACAGCTGCCCTCCCTTTACCCTCTGTAGTGGTGGCATCCCCCATGCTCTGCCCGTCCAACTTCACGCCTGCTTTGTTGGTCGCTTTCTTGGCTTGCCTCTTTTTCCTTTGACTAGACAGGATCTCCTTCTCTTGCACCTTGTCAGCAATCTCACTCTTTTCCACCCCATTGTCCATCATCTCTGAGGAGTGTTTGGGTCTGTCAGGGATGCGGTCATTGCCCGCTGAGATGGTCGGAGAGGGTTTGGGGATCCAAGGATGATCTCCCCTCTTTGGGATAGGCCAGGGTTTGAAGTCCTTCTGATACTGGGTCTCGTTGTTAAAAGGAACCTCGGGGCCGTGGTACTCGTTCTTGGGCTTGCAGCTGGGCTCCGGGCGAACATTCCAGTGTTTAAAGTCCTGGCGCATCACAGATCCTAAGACGTTCTCCTCCTGGGCTGCAGGTCCTTTGGTCACCGCGTCGTGGTCGTTGTGAAGCGGCTGCGTTTCCTTCGGCGCGGACTGCTGCAGGTGAAGATGCTGCATCTCGGACACGTCCGAGTACTTGGTGAAAACCAGCGGCACCGCAATGTCGGCCTTGTCCAGCTGGTTCCAGAACCGAGCCATACAGCAGGCTCTGGAGATACAGGGCCATGCCATGATGGTCTGCCAACGTCTTACCTTAAATTATGTCAATCTCTTTCTTTTCTCAAAGCTGTTTTGTATTCAGTTTGTGGAACTAAACGCGCTCTTGTGCCTCGCGGGGGGAACACAAAATGTCCGATTCGCAAAGTTTTTCCTTAAAACGATGCTGTCAAAGATGACAGGACACAAATCCAGTGTAAAGGAGGCATTACGGGTTTTTTAAAAGTGAAATATATTCTGGTTTAGCTCCGTCCTGATCCCCTTGCGCTCGTTAGAATACGAGAATGTGTTAAGACACAGCACAGCAGCCCCTCCCGCGCGCCTTCTGCGCTCAGCATCCACCGAGAGCTGCATCACCTGCCGCTGTCATCATCACGCAGCGTCTGCAGTGGGTGGAGTTGCGCTCGAGTCCCCGCCCACTAAAGTAGAGGCCTGAGGATATCAAATCAGGAGGGATGCTCAAAAGAGTTCAAACATACTTACCGATAATGAACTGCAGATGCAGAATTAACCATTTTAAAATTCGTTCATTTGTGTTCACGTGGCTTTCCACTGTAAAGTTTTTTTTTTATTGTGAAATACATTATAAAAATAGGATGAATTATTATTAAATATGAATATTTGTTCAAGTAACACTTGAAAAAAATACATATAGTATAATTATTCTCTCTATATAGGCTATATAGTTTTGAAGTTTTTGAAAGAAGTCTCTTATGCTCACCAAGGCAGTTTTTATCTGATTAAAAAACAGTGAAAACTGTTTAAATCAGTTTAAATATATTATATATAATTTTATATAATTATATTATGTGTGGCAATTTAAATAAATATAGACACTTAAATTCTATCATTTCATATGTTTCAATTACAATAACAGTAAGAGTGAATGATTATTTTGTGTTTTTTTCTAAAAACAGCAATTCCTGACAGACAGGGCCGGATTTACGCATAGGCATTCTAGGCACGTCTTCGCTTGTCCAGGGGGGCCCAAACAATGAAGAGATATATAATATTTTTGTTATAATATGGCCTATCTACAACAGTAAAGAACCAAAACACCAGAAGACATTGAGCAAATAAATATAACAAACAATAGGTTAAAAAAAAATGACAAACTATTTCCATGTTTTCCACCTTTTTTATGAACGGAAATCACGCTTTCTTCCATTCTCTCTCACAGACACACACACACACACACACACACACACACACACAGTGGCCTACATACACGCACACACACACACACACACTTGCCGAGAGGCGGACAGAAACTTGTCTGTTGTCTGCTCCGCGAATTTATCGATAAAATAGTTTCACAGCTGAAAAGCTACATGACATTTCTCAGTATGGAGGTTCTTGAAGCAGATCAACTTAAAGATTTGCTATTAGTAGATGCTGCTGCTGAACACTGCTGCGACGCACAGACTAATCACGCGCTTAATCTCTCTCTATCTAATAACTGCATTAGACTGCATATCAATGGCTCAAGCCTATGTTATTAGCTCTAAAATGACATTTTGGAATTTGCAACGGAAGGTTTATGTGGTGCATAAGAAATGAATTCAACACACATGAGATTTCAGGATGGAAACATGAAAAATGTGTTGAAATTAATAATCATTTGAACAGTGTCTTGAGGTTGTGACTCCAGGCCGTTAAAATTATTAAGAAACAATGCACTCCCGAAGTGGTAATGGCCACGACTCCAGAGCCTATTAATGGAACGGTCTTTCTCCGTTCTAAAACAAATTAAGAACTACATTTGATGACTGAACTCAAGCGCTTATTGCGATAGAAAACACTGTAATGGTTTCCACTGATTACGAAATATTTCTGTTTGCTGGGGTTATAATGTTATATATTAATAGGGAAGTGGGGCCCAAACATTTGTTTTGCCTATGTCATGATAAGAGGTAAATCCGACCCTGCTGACAGAATATTCTATAACTTGACATAATGACATGTTAATTATACAAATTTCCATACATGATCATCACACTTTTAAAATGAGACTTCCTCATATATCAAAGTCTGAGGGGAATCCTGGTTCTTAAAAAAACTGTAATTTTGTGAAGTATTATTACAAGTGAAAATAACTATACAGTATATATATATATATATATATATATATATATTTTTTTTTTTTTAAATGTCATTTATTTCTATGATGGCAAAGCTGAATTTCCAGCAGTAATTACATATTAGACGAATTTAATATGCTGATTTGGTGCTCAAGAAACTTATTATTATCAATATTGAAAACAGTTTCTTTAAGGATTATTTGCTATAGAAAGTACAGAAAGAATAGAAAGTTCAAAAGTATTTATTACCTATGTATATCATTTTTTAAAAGTTTATTAACATTCTTGACATTTTATTATGTTTTATACATGACCAAATATTCATATTTAATAATATTAATAATGAATTTTATTTTAATAATAATGGATTTCACAAATGTTTAAAAAACATAAATTATCCTCATGCTAAACAAGTAAACAATTTCGATGTAGATTATTTGAATGAACACACACACACACACACATAAATATTCATGCATACATACATATACAGATATATAATTTAAAATAACATTATGCATTTCAGCTCCTTTTTCCCATAAATCCCCTATTTTCATGTACATATTGTAAGGCCTAATTTTGCACAGCCCTTTGTCTCCGGGGCCAAAAGTCTCATTGGTGTAATATCAGGGTACTCTTGGTCTATAATCCTATCACTTGCAGTGAATTTATCAGATAAGGTAGCTGATGAAAGGAGGAGGGGAGCAGACCAAGACATGGTGTCAGACTTTGACCTCAGAGTGGAAATCCTAGCGCTGTGCTGATCTCTCGGCCACTCGCCGACTCTTGCTGTCTTCTGGTTTAGACATGAAGATTTGTTTTGCTCCGGCTGATGTGCCTCTGGTTAGGAGGATCCAGACTGCTGTCGTACTGCAGTGGGTCTTCTCTTTCCTGGCGCTCGGTAAGTGCATGTGCTTTTATTATAGTCTCTTTGCAAAGCCATCAAGTGTTGACCTTGAATGAGATCTATAGTCACAGTCTGTATTCTGTCTCTTACACATGCAATAGTCACTGCATTTTAAGTTAAATTACATATACTTAAAGTCAAACTTCACACAACTTAAAGAGGTACCCAATATAATAGCTTTTACAGTCTTGCATAAAGTGTTTTTAATTTAAGAAAGATATTGCAGCTTTACTGGCTCTCATGTTTTAAAGGTAATAACAGAATATAACCTCATACAAATGCCTCTTTCTAGAAAACACATCAATATGTTTTGAAAAAAAGCAGGAAAACATGTTCTGTCTGTTACTACTGTATGTAGGCCTTTATCAAAGCACCAAGATAGGTTGAAACCTCCAGGTCAAAGTCTTCAGTTGGAAAGATCCTGACTGTAAATGTATTTGTGCTGATGTGTTTTCTTTCAGTCTGTGCATTTGTGTGTAATGCATCTATGTGTTTATTATTATTTTTGCAGCCCCCATCTGTATTATACTGTTCCTCTTGCTACTCTTCACTCGTTTCTGGCTAATCAGCGTGCTTTATGCCATCTGGTGGTACATCGATTGGGACACACCCTCACGAGGAGGTAGAAAAGTGCCCTTTCTGTGTCGAATGCGCGTATGGGAGTATATGAGAGATTATTTCCCTATTAAGGTGAGTGGGCGGATCTAGTGAAGCGTGGTAAAACTATGTCTCTTGGCTGTTTTGACCTTTTAAATAGGATTTTGTCACTTAACTGTGTCATATGAACTACCTTAACTTCAATTCAGAAAGGTAGGGTTTAAATAGTAGCCTATTTATCTAAAAGATAGAATGGCATTATATGCATCAACAATGTCTTTCTTTGTTGTCATTCGTTTTGCTGTCTATCAGCAAATCGCTTGCTGTCACTTGCATCTATCACTTGCATCAACGAACATCAACAGAATAGTTCTTTTACCAAATGAAACCAACACGTTGTTGCTCCAGGGAGAAAAACAAGGCTGAACCATTTAGATAAACAGATAAACAGTGATTTGCAGGCCTAAATAATAAGAGAACAATGTAACACTGCCATCTAGTGCTTATTCATTGTCTGAAAATGGTGCAAAGCCCAGCATCCATAGCCTTCTGCAGAATTGTAAGAAACTCATGTTAGTATTTAATATAGAGTCCTGATTTACTTATCACAAACAATATCATTGTGGTGTTTAAAATATGTTCTTTGTAGGAATGTATTTTAAATATCTCTAAATAATTGCTGTACCTCTCACAAAACACATTATTCTAGAAAAAGAAAAGTGAACTGTTTTGAAGTGAACATTATGTTAATTCAGTAAGATTGTTATTTATTCATTCATTTATTTTTTTTGAAATAAATTAATACTTTTATTCAAGGACCCATTAAATTGATCCAAAGTGATAGTAACTTTTACATTTTTACATTTCTATTTAAAATAAATGCTGTTCTTTTGAACTTTCTATTCATCAAGTATTCTTGAAAAGAAATCTTTGTACAAACAACCCAAACTTTGAATAGTATAGTGTGTATTTTGCATGCATCTGAGATTTAATGTTGAGTGCACTAACATTCAGTAGAGAATTTTTATACTGCAGATTTTGTCTTTAAAATAACATGCAAATAACGTTTTGGAATATGTTTTGTATTTGGAAAGTTTAAATTGAACTGATAAGTACTACAGTATTTTAGTGGCCAACCTTGCTATACTTTGTACTCTTGTTGATGAAAGGTTTTGTTTTTCTCAACAGTTAGTGCCACATCAAATCTACACTGATTTGATTAGCGTGTCAGGGAAATGTTATCGCTTTGCTGGTTGAACCCTTGATACACTAATGTGTCTTATCTGTATGTATCTGTCCATAATGACAGTCTTTTCACCTTTTGAACAACCGAGATGGCATGTGGCCTCAGAAGACACTGTGTTCAGAGTGAATGAGTAACTAAACACTGTGGGGGGCTTAGACCCCTGTTCAATACAAGGGTCATGGCCATGATCTTGAAGGGAGACTATAAAATACCCATCTCTATCAAAACAACTTAAAGAATCAATGTAATAATTATAAATGTTATTTTGATTTAGTTTAAAGGCTTTGTAGTTTCTTTTTCATTTAAGTTAGTGATTATTTAATGGGCTTTGTATAAATCATATGAGCTCAACCATTTACTTGCAATTTTTTTGCCCTTTTGTCAATTCACCGTACAATCTGGGTTTGTCCCAGAATTCGCAGGAAGCACAACATATGACTAAATGCGTCATTAGTATTAAAGAGGCCCTGCTGTAGCTAAACAGAGCATTTGTATTCAAAGTGAATAATTGATTAAGATGAAACCTTGCTA